AGAGAGAGCTTTTTTACCACTTGTTTTCTCTCTTCACCCCCACCCAATACTGCTAAAAGTATCACAGTTCTGTTCCAGTTTTCCTGCTTAAGATATAGGCTATCAGCCTTTCAACATCAGTAATTTATATCTGATCTTTTTCTCCCTTTTCCCATGATGGTGCAATTATTTTTTATAAAGACCTGAGAGAAAAAGCTCCCTTTACAAACATTTTTGGAGGGCCTTGTTCAGACTCTGCAGGAACAGCAGCAGCTTGGTTGACAAAGCTTCCTAAACCAGAGACAGAACCCTTTTTTTTTAAAACGTAGCTTCCATAAAGCCAGTAAGTATCTTACCAGTTAAAATATGAATTCTGTTACCAGCTCTTTTTATCATTAAATGATGATTCACTTTTCTACTGAAATCAAATAAGTTTAATAAAAAAGCAAATTACTGTGTTCAAATATTTCAAATCACATTTGCAGCTGTTCACATTTAATGTTAACATTTTTGTGCCTAAACACGGCTCTTGCTAGTCAAATTGTCACACTAACTCATTTTCAGATACTGCACTACTGCTGCACTGCATCTGTAATTAGATGCATTAATATGATACCATAGAGTAAAACTAACAAGAGTATGAAACATTTTGCATATGCAGTTAGAAAATGCTTTGCAAGACTCAAATATTATCGCAAATTCAAAAAAACTAACTGTTTTATGTTATATGTACAACTTAATCTGGACTTATGTTCTACAAAAGAGATCACAATGGCAGCAACATATGAAAGAATTTATGCTTATTCTGTATTGTGAAATACAGCAAACTCCTTGTTTGGAGGAGATGCAAGCAAAGTAAGCACTGGAAGGCAGCAAGTTGTAACTAGTCTCACAGAGGCACATTTCATTACTACACACCACACTTCACCAACACTGTATCTTGGGTACTTTGTACGAAAAAGATGTAGTCTTGTTAAGTGAATTAAAAGTTTTACATGCAAAAATATATTGATTCTGCATTTTGTGTGGCACCTTTCTAACTGACACCATATGAAGTATTAAGTTGTGTATCAACTGGTTGAGCACTGGAGTTTGTAGAATCCTTCTGCAGCTCAAGTATGACAGTTATTGCATCACTACAAAGGGCAGAAATTACTCTTGCTATCAATGTTTTCAAAAAGTTTGTTTCAGATTAAGTTTTATGTTTTATATTGTGACCTTACAGAAAACATCATCAACCCAGACTCCCAATCTTTTCACTGTACAGCCAGAGGACTGGAACTAACATTACCCTTATACTAATGGTTTTCAAGTGGTTGGTATATATTCAACTCTAACTATGATTTCTTGAATTTCAAAGATGAAGTTACATGCATTTCCTTAAAAAAAATTACTTATTTACTCTTCCAATACAAATAAGCACTTGATTTCGATATCTCTAAGCAACATATTTATGTATACACACAAAGAAAAGGAGCACAGAAACACTGGCTCCCTCCACTAAAAGGATCTCAAAGCCACAGAATAAAATTTGGAAAGGCCATGTGGTCCTTACAGTCACTGTTCTCCCTCCCTACTGTGTTACCACCATCCATTCACAATTTACTTCACTTGGGACTAGGATTACCTACTGATTTTGTAAGAAGTACTGACAAATGGGAACCTGCAAAAAAACCCGGAACCTGCATTGCTGATAGCTCCTTGAAGCTTAAAGACTACCTCCTTTAGTGAGAAGAAGCAGAACAGGATGGAATTGGGTCTGGGAGTGAGGCAAAGAGCATGAGAGATGGAGAACTAAGTGATGCAGGTGATATGGAACTGGGAGCCCTCTGGAGATGCCAGCTGTAGGGAATTTGAACCCAGGCCAGTTAATGCTGTTGCGACCTAGTTCCACAAAACAAGTTGCAAAAGTGGTCCTGTAATGATATTATTGGAAGTCGCAATTCTCGATTTTTCTGCTGTCCTGGGTGGTGTCTACTGCCAAATAAGAGAATCATTGCCACATGTTCACAAAAAGACAGAACCACAGAACCTGCAATAAGCAAAATACCTCTTCATAAATTTTCCACAGTGTAAAAAAAAAAAAAAAAAAAAAATTACCTACCTGTTCCTTGTAGGCTGCCAAATATTACACCATCACCTATTCCTCCGCAGAGGGGTTAACCCAGAGAAACACAGCATATTGCTCCTATAAAGGGGAACAATATGAATACCAAGACCAGGGAATGACCTCATGTTGCATTCTACAAAACCAAAGGCTAGCCTCTTAACACCAAATTACAGAACAAAAATGGTTTTGAAAAATCAGAAGAGCCTAGCAATGCCAAGAGATAAGCACTTAACTCTTGACAATATTACCAAGAAGTCTCTTGAACACTGAATAAACACATTAAAAGAAGCAACACCAATTCAAATTCTAGTTGGCGTCCATTTTCCTGGATTTGGGAGGAACAGAAGTCTGGACCTCATATGTGAAATCAGAGCACAGTGAAAAGGCAGGCTGTGGTGAAACTTTTTGTGAAGGATAACAAAATCTCACTTTAAAAAAAACAACAACAAAGCCAAATAACCAAAATACCATAAATAATTGTCTTGTAAAGATTATTATGCCAAAGAGCAGTCAAGAAAGCCCAATGGAAAGTAAATCTCCCTCAGATGCTTTACAGCCTACTTCAAGTCCCAAGCTTTTAGAATTCTAACTTCTCCAGCATTTACACACTCAAATACATATGTTTCCACCATCAAACTGGTACAGTATCCTGATTCTGTCAAGAAATATCAATAAATCTTGTTTGTAACTTTGTGTACAGACCATTTTAAAAAAAGTACAGAGGAAAAAATTAACATAAACATGATTAAAACTTGCTTTTTCCCATACTCTTCCAAGACAGACATCTCCAGACTAGTCATACTGGATCAAAACCTGTCAGCTGTGAATAACCTTGCACAGTTCTGAAGCAAGAATCACCTTTCTTTTTGAGTATATCATTTCTATGGATTTCCAGAGTTCTACCAAAATCAAGGCCCCAAACCTCTTCTCCATAAAGCTGGAAAGCCATCCCTCCCATACTAATACGTGTTATTCTATCCCTGTAACTAAAGTTGCCTTAAAGAACATATCTAAGTGCAAAGTAAGAGAATCATTGAGAAATTAAGAGACAGACTAGTTTAAAAAAAAAATCACAAGGATACAGTGGTAGATGTCATTTGTAATCTCACAGTGTCCTCATGGTTTCAGGAATGCATTGTTTGTTCACACACACACACCTGAGAAGTCCACATCCAGGATCCAAAACTCACACTTGCTTACCAATTAGGTAATTAATTAGGCAATTATCTCTTTTTTCCCCAACTAGGTGTGTCTAAAACAATCTGATTTGGAAAGAGAATATTAAGCCCAATTTCATACACAGTCACTCTTTTATAAACACCAACAAATATCAAAGACAGGAAATGTAATTTTCCCTGCCACAAACACTTTACAACTGAAAGGAAAATTCATGCTATAGTCTCCATAAGAAACACACAAGAAAACCTACTTTCAAATTCTATTTTAACAAAAAGAAAGAGATGGGATGTCTTTTTAACACATATCACTGCTTCTTATAATAGTTCATGCACTTGTCACTGAAAATCACTAAAGAACAACATATGATATCACTTATGACTATGATAAAACCCGCATAATTTTAACCTGTTCAAGTTAGAAAAGCCTGTATTCCACTACTGTACATTAAAGAGAGTATTATGGATACATGCATAACAGCACATATTTGCAGACTGCATAATCCTTCTACACCACCACCAATAGCAACTTTGTGATCAATCATTTCATTTCAGCTAAAAACTGCATCTTTTACCACAAAAAAATCCATCTCCACCCTCCTGGGAAAACATGAAGGCAGGGGGAGGAAGGGGAGAAAAAGCAGCAGCCTTACTAAGCTTTAACTTTAAGAAGGAAACAACCAAAAAAAGTTAGTTGATTAAGACAATTCTTTGATAGAGATGCACATGTACTTGCACAAACAAGAAGTCTGCAAAATACTGCAACACACACCAAAAACCGTACCTAAAATCAAGCTACCAACTAGAAGCCAGCAGTATGAGCCCCAAATATCAAATTCTCCTATGTTTCTGTCAAAATGTTTTAAGATTAGATAAAACGTAGAAATAATAAATTAGACAAGAGAAAATTAAGACAATACTATATTATGTTCCTAACATGGCAGAAAGTTACCTTTTCAGACAACAAACCTTGGTTTTATAAAGTACTGGTTCAAACACTTTACCCACTGGTAAACAAGCACGGAAAAACCGAGCAACTTTCTCTCCTGGTTTCATACTCCCATCTTTTTCCTGCAGAAATTCCTTTCTTAGCTTCCATCTCTCCCTCCACCCTGCTCCTTCTGACTAACTACCCACTGAACTCCTGCACGGCAGTAAACACAACGGGACCAGAGGCAAGCAGCACACAGAGAACACGTTTCTCCGGCGGCCTCAAAACATGCCACTACTACACCAGCACCGGCCTCCTCGGCCGCAAGGCAAAACCGAGGGAAAACGGGCAGATCGCGGGGCCGCCAGAACACAAGCCACCCCTCGTCAGGGCCAGACAAGCCGCCCGCACACTTCTGCCCCGGGCCCCGCTTCCCCGGCACCCAGGGGGGCCCTGGAGCGCGGAGCCCGGCGGGACCGGCCGCGGCCGACACGTCGGCAGGGCCGCCCCGCGCCACCGCCCACCCACAGCGGCCGGGCCCGCCGGGGACGCCGCACCTCGCTCCGCCCGTCCTTCGGGCGGAGGAGCGGGGTGGCTCGACCCCCCCGCCGGCCGTACCTGCGGCCCCGGCCCCGCCCGGCGGAGGCCGCGCGGCGAACGGGCCGTACCGGCCTCCCCCGCTATGACACTGCAGAGCGCGGCCCGCCCGCCCGGGCCTCTCCTTCCTTCCGCCGCCGGGCCCCGGGCCCCGCTCCCGGCGGCGCCATGATGATGATCGGCCCCCAAGGCCGCCGGGCCGGGCCCCACCGCCGCCGCCGCGGGCGGCCTGGGCGCCCCGCGCCGCTCACCTTCATGTCGGGACATCCTAGTCCAGAGACGGCGGCCCAGGCCTGTCTCGGGGCTCCCGCGGGCAGCTCGGGCGCCGCTGCGGCCTCGCCCCCCGCCGCCGCCCCGGTGCGAGAGGAGAGGGGCCGGGGCTGGGCCGGGAAGGGGGCGAAAACACAAGAGGCGGCGAGGAGCCGGCCTCCCTCCTCCTCCTTCTCCTCCTCCTCCTGCCTCCTCGCTCGCCCTGCGGGGGGCGGATCCGGCGGCAACGGCTTCCCGGGCGCCGTGACACGGTGACTCCGGGCCCCGCCGGCCGCTGGCGCCGCCTCCCGCGCCGCTCCGCCCCTGCCGCACCAGCGACGGCGGCGGCCGCGCTGGAGCCTTCCCGGCCCCGGCCCCTGCCCCTTCCCCTTCCTCCTCCCGCCCCGGCCGCGCTGCTGGAGGAAGAGGAAACTCCCTAACAGGGCGGCGGCCCTCCCGCGCGGGCTGCCGGGCCAGGGCGGGCTCCGCCCGGGGCAAGGAAGCGGTCGAGGTAGCGGAACCCAGCACCGGCCCGACCCAAAGGACACGCATTAATCAGTTTTTTGTATGTAAAAAGAGCGGAAAAAGAGCGGCAGAGAACAGCGTGCCCTGAGCCGGCGCTCTGTCACTGATCGCGTTACTCATTCTGCCAGATTTGCGGAGCTGCGACTCCAGGCACAGGGCTGGAGTCTTTCCTTCGTGGTTTGTTTTTTTTGGTTTTTGGTGGGTTTTTTGTTTTTGTTTTGTTTGTTTGTTTTTGTTTTTATTTGTTTGCTTGTTTTGGTTTGTTTTGTGGGTTTTTGGGGTTTTTTTGTGTGTGTGTGTGTGTGTGTTTTGTTTTGTTTTGTTTTGCTTTTTGGGGTTTTTTTTTGTTTGTTTTTTCCGAGTTCTGCTTTTGTCAGGCCTTCAGAGGACTGCCAGAAGTGTCCTTCAGTTAAACTCCAGCTCTGTAAAAAGGATGCCCACAGTGTGCCATGTGTTGTCCCACTCACAGAATCACAGAATAGCTTCACTTGAACTAGAAGGGACTCAAAAGGATCACGAAATCAAACTCCTCGCCCTGCATAGGACCACCCCCTTGAATGACCATGTGCCAGAGAGCGTTTTTGAATGCTTCTTGAACTCTTTCGGGCTTGGTCTTGTGATCACTTCCCTGGAGAGCCCGTTCCAGTGCCCAACCACCCTCTGGGTTAAGAACCTCTTTTTAATGTCCAGCCTAAACCTCCCCTGACAAAACTTTATGGCTGTGCCTTCGGCTCTTGTCACTGCTCATCATAGATAAGAGATCAGGGTCTGCCCCCTCCTCTTCCCCTCACGAGGAAGTTGTAGTCTGCAGTGGGGTGTCCCCTCAGTCTCCTCCAGGCTGAACAGATCAAGGGACCTCAGCCACTTCTCATATGGCTTCTCCTCAAGGCCCTGTACTCCAGACAAGTGTCTTGGTCTGTCCACACCACAAGGACTTTTCATCCTGTCATTGCTGGCTTCCTACCACTTCATGGAAGCAGGCCAGTCTTGAAACCAGTGAGAGACTTGCAACAGGGCCACGTTCCTTCCCTGGTTCAGATACACAGGGCACATATTTCATGCATTTTGTTTTTGCCTTTCTTACTGTGACTTCCTGGCCTTTCCCTAGATTCCATCCATGATAATAGCACCATCTTTTTTACCTTCTCCCACCTGCTTTTGTTTTCTCGAAGCTTTCCATCTACTGTGCTCATGGCATTCTTTCATCTTTTCCCTTTGCCAATCCAACTCCTCTGTCTTCTCCACTGTCTTACACCACAGCTCCCATATGTCTGCCTCAGCTGCAAAATTCTTAAACATTTATGTTGGTGAAATGTCTTCTAAGTCTGTTTCAAAGGCCATGAGGGTCCACACCAGTGCAGCTTAAGTATCAAGGTGCTCAGAAAGGCAGGAGTGAACCAGAAGGTGTTGAAAGGAGGAAGTGCCAACCTCATTCCTGGCACCACCTCACTCCCATGCCAGTTGCATTATACAGCCTCTGCCTGACACAGTACATGCTTGTGCACTCTTTGTTCCTGGTACAAAGGTGTTCCTGGTTTCTGAGCAACTGGTTCACCTCCAGCTTTCCTTTAGCTACATGCAATTTCATAAACAGTGCCTACTGAAAAGATAGCTTGGATCTAAAAGTCTAAAATTCCAGTTGGTTGTGGGCATTTCCAGCGGCAGCAAGCGATACCTGTGAATTCTATAAGGTGTAGGGGATCATTTTGAGGACCATTTTGATGGGAGCCAATGACTTCACTGCTTATGAAAACAGGAAGACAGTCAATGACCATGCAAAAAGGTTGCAAGAAGTACACCACAGATGACAAGAACCTGAAGAGCACCTTGCAGCTGTCATAATACTCACTACCAAACTATGAAAGCATGTCTCAGGAGTGTTTGTCACCAGTCTAGTTCTGGTGACAAAACTGTACCTATCCTGCCAGCATTTCACAGCAACAGTACACAGACTAGAGCAGTTAGTAGGATGTGTTTTTCTACTTTCTTTTGTCACCAACAATTTTAAATGCAAATGGCAACTGTTTCACCCAGATGCAAATTATAGACCACCAGTTTCTCCCTTTCATCCCTAAAGGAGCAAGTTGGCTAGAGATATTTCATTTCTGTGAGAGACTGTGGCTCCTCCTGAAGATAACTTTCCTCCCTCTGAGCACTACAATGATTTGTTGACTGTGCTTGGTTTTATCCTGTTACACAAGAGTGACCTCCCACAGGAACTTCTCCCCATGCATCTGATAAAATACAGACTGCATGCCAGTATTTCAGTGAGACCTGGAAGATTCTGTGCTTAATCTTGGAATTCCTTGATCTAATCATCTTGATTCTTGGCATTTTAATTAAAAATCAGTTCAATAAACTTTCCTCTATTAAGTGTTTCTCAGATGGATATCCCTTGAGTACACATGGTGCCTCTTCCGTGGTGTATTCTCCATCTTTGTAGACTTGAAGTCCAAAATTAAAACTGTAATCCTGTTATTATTTCCTGTTTTCTTGCCTTAAGGCCTGTATCTATACCCAAAGACACAGTATAGATAAAAACCTTGGTGCTCTTGGAATAATGCTAGAATATGCCTGCACGTGCAGCATTATATGCAGCACCTGCATTATATCCTTCAGTGAGAATTTTGCTGATTGTCTCTTCTGCAAATATAGCAAATACTGCAAATGTAAGATGACTAGTGATTAGGACGTGGCAACTCTGTCTGTGCAAAGAGCTACATAACAGAATTTGAATGTCCTTTACAAGGTCATGGCCACCAGTAGAAAATATTATTTTCTTAGCATTATCGTGATAATAACCTATACTATCCTGGTTTTGAACAGTACTGTTTCTCAAACCCACATGCTGCTATTCTGCAGGCAGAATGAGAAAGAAAGATTTTAGTTAGGTTATGAAGTTTTGGTGTAGATGAATCTCTCTGCCTCTAAGGAAGAAGCCTGCCATAATTGGGTTTCTTGGTCTTTCTCTCCCATACAGCAGAAGAATTCATAGGTGATAGTTCCTTTAAAGCCATGAGGGAAAACAATTCAACTTTAGTATCTTCCCAATGGATAAAAGCAAGCTGAGAAATAAAAATTTTCTTACCCAAAGTCATTCAAGGTCAGAGCCAGACAAGGGACTAGAGACCCAGTTCTCACAGCGAATTAGGCCATGGGATAAGCTACAATGATAAACAGAAAAATTGATGGATTTTCCCAGCATATAATAATACTATGATAAAATTTGTGTCTGAAAGTTATAAAAATCCTCTGAAATAGGGGAAGAAATGGTTGTGTGGCCTCATGCAGTTCCTTTCTCTGCCATTGTAAAAAGGGTGTCTACAACAGACCAGGAGAAGTCTGACCACTGAACAGTGGTCACTGAACTTTGAATTGAACAGTAACACCCTAGAGCAGAACTCCTGAGTGTTAAAACTGTTACATTAGGAGACACTTAATTGCCATTAATGTCCTCAGAACTATTCACTGCTTTGTAAACTACTGAAAGCCCACTGAGACAGTGTTTTTAACTTGCTTCAGTGCTATTATGTCCAGTGCCTGCTATGCTAACTGGCTTCATCCATTTGAGGAACGCTTTACTTTGATTGAACATGTCAGTACCAAAGCTGGGCAACCCACTGCATGCCACAGGAGCTCCTTGCAGGTTTGGTGGTTCAGGCTCACACTTGGAATTAAAAACACTAGAATGGTTTTTAATTCAAAAACTCACATATATCAGTTGCTTGCTCATCATTAGATGCATATGGAACTGGGATGCATACATACTCAAATATCAAATTTGTACATTGGTACGTGTCAGGGCCTTCCACTGCACTTTTCTGCTGTTTTTCTGCCTCCTTTTGCTCAGTAGTGGTTCAACATGATACAGAGTTGCTTCCTGGCTGTGTTCAGCATATGTAATAAAGCTTTTAAGAGAAATACAGTCTTGCTGCTTTCTAATTTATGAGGAAAGCCCTAAATAACTTAACTTATTCTTACTTTCTGTTTTACTTTCTGTGCCAGGGATGCCTGGTTTGCCATGAAAACAGAAACAAGGATCTTGGGATTCCTATGGCTGGATTCTAGGATTCTAGGTAGGAAATGGTATTTCTACATAAATAGTTCTTAATAACTGAAGTTTTTCATGTTCCCAGGCCTGCTTATGGTGTCTCACGATCCACCTTGAAGTGTCCAAAGCACTGGAACCGCACAATGAAATGGTAGGAATCAGGAACATCAGACAGCTTTGCTTAGTGAGTCCCATTTGGAGATTTTGCAATGGAATACAAGCATCTCACTGGACAAGAGTGGACTTGAATTTTCAGCAGATTTTTTTCCCTCGCATGGAAACTACTTGGCCTTAGAGCTATACTTTGCTAAGCACAACTAAATATACTATAAAATGCTCATTATCAGTTTAAACTTTTATTAGAAGTTCTTATTTTGAATTCTGGACACCACTGGGATGTGCAATGGAAATGCTATGCTGCTGTGCCCATAATTTACTGGCAACCAGCAGTTGCAAAAGCGGTTTCATTTTTTCACACATACAGTCCAGGGGTAAATGTCACATCTGTCTTCTTTCCTGAGCTCTGGTGATGCGTTCTTTTTTTTTATCTTAAAATTGAGAGGCAGATGCAGTTAAGGGATAAAGGGGTTTTTATCTTGTTATTTAATAAGGATTTTTATGGTGCAACACTTCGCCAAGATGTAGCATGCTGAAATGTACTCTCCCAATAGATTGTGTATACAATTTTATAGACTTCACAAATTAGCATTTCCAGTAAAGATGCCCTAATGAAAGGCTTGAATGAATAGTGTGATATCATCCCTTCCTGAAGAATTTCTTCCTGGATAGGCTTAAACCTAGTTTACAGGATGTATTTTAGAGAGGAGCTTGGTTCCTCAATATAGCATAGGGCTTTCTGGACTCCAGTTGCAGGCCTTTAGGATGTCCTGGCCTAATAGAATACCTAATAGAATAATGTAATTAAGGAATTACAAGTATGCATATTAAGAGCACTGAGGATACATTAAAGGTATATAAAAGAAAAGGCAGAAAATCATCATGGCATGAGTGGTATCCCCATATTCACCTACACATACCCTGAAATCACTGCCACTCCCAAGCCCTCTGTAACAGATTTTGCATGATCCCAGAATCCTTTTGCTAGTTGGGCAGGTGGTATTAAGAGGTTAAGCTGGTGGGTACTTGTACACAGCCAGACATATGTGTGCAGGCGCTGCATGGAATTCTAATATACTGCTGCTCTTTTCCTTCTCTCAGCAAGTGTGTCTGGACTTCAGCAAAATGAGGAATTGCCTTGTTTATCTTCTCTGCATTCAGAGGTTACCCCAGATTGGTCCTTCAATACTGTGAGCTTTCATCTTCTCTGTAGTCAGTTTTTGATGCTAGTTAAGATACCAGATGTTGATATAAAGTTTAAAGTGCCCCAGCTAACTCCTTCTCTTTGACTTTTCTGACCAAACCTTTATGAAGAATTTGAGCCAAAACAAACACTGAAAATTCATCAAATCATTCTGTCCTTTTACAGAAATACTCCAAACTGCAAATAACTCCATTACAAGGGTGTGTGATTGCAGATCACATACCCTTGTAATGGCATGGCTCCAGTAGGCACACTGTTCTTACAGGACCTAAAGTCACAGCACACTAGGAAATAGAAATAGCTTTTAAAAATTCTCCAGATTCCAGCTCTAGAAGAGGACAAAGAAAAAAAGAATTTATCCTTTCTTGAAATTACTTTTGCTGTTCCTTTGGAGGTTAGCGCTGAACAAAACAATAATCCTCTACTTGATAACCACAAATGTTGCCATTTTGACTTAATTCGTGTGAATGAATGAGAAACACAGTGTCCCAAGCACTGTTCCCAAAAGGAGGAGATATCAGGGATGTATCCTGTGTACTTACAAAGCCTTTTTTCTGTGAACAGGAGGAAGCAATTAAAAAATTATCTGCTCATCATCATAAAAACTCCTCTGCTGCCCAGATGTGTTTTTTGCACTTATTTCTCGGAGGCCATGCTGCAATACTGGTTCAGGCTATGAGCTAAGTTTTCATTACCCTCTGGGGTTTTTTTGGCCCTTTTCTTCCTATCCCCTCTCTCTTTCTAATCAACACCTGCACTTATTTATAAGGAATTCCCTTATTCAAAAGGAATTTAAATCACTGAGTGATTCTCTTTGACCTTTTTGAGTGGAGATCTGTGCCTATTTTATAAGCACTGGATACTGACATACAGGAGACAAGCTACTCTTTGCAAAACTTGGTGGTTAATCTTTGGATCTGTATGCCTCTGTTTCAGTACAATTCAAGATTGGTACCTTATGCCTAGACTTTGCAATTCACTTGCTGAAATCATGTGGTGTGTGAGATGCTATGGTGAGGTGATACAATGCCAGTCTCCAAAATTGGCCTCAGACTTGAGGAGGCCTTCATGGCTGGCTCCTTTTCCATGAGGACCCTTGTGAGCAAAGGGGCACTCTAGAACTCACTGCAAAATCTCATCAGCTCCAGGACTATCCAGGTTAAGTGCAGCATGGCAATGCCTGGGGAGGCGTTTGCCTGCACTGCTTGTGTCTGCTTTGCAGGCACAGTGCTGAGGAACAGAAAGCAAGTTGAAACTCCCACAGTGTCAAAGACTACTAGCACATGTTGGAATAAGGGGCATCTCTCAGTACACCAGGAGTTTTCAAACATATGTAATTTCTGCTGGAAAAAGCCTGTACTATAAAGTGACAGCTGAAAGCCAGCATTGTGGGATATAAAAACCAGGTTTATGTGGGTTTTGTCTTGGCCATAGCTGCTAAGTAGCAATCCTGCAGTAAAACAGGTTATATCTCATCATTCTCTTCTTCTGCTCTCCCTAGAAATTTTAGCCTGCATGGCTCAGACAAGCATGTATCTGACAGTGTATTAGCACTTAAAAAAAGAAATGAGAAACTCAATACAGTTAACCTGGAGGGAAAAGACTGCTTTTACTTGAAATGCACAAAATTGCTGTGTGTGCCAGGTGCCTCTGTCTGGTTCTGCAGCAGGCACCTCTACTGAAATGATTTGCTGTAATATTCTTAGCTGTTGTTAGAGATGCATGACTAGTGATTTTGGCTTGCCCTTTTCCAGTCATCCCTCATTTTCCCCTTCTTCCTGCAATGAAACTGGAGAAAATTTGAGTTCCAAATGCAACTTAGCTATGTCTGGGGCACCACTAAATGACAAACAGGTCTCATCCAGCTTTTGGGGTTTTATCCAGACATGCCTTCCAGCAGTTAACTAAGTCTTGCCTGTCTCCTCACATATTTTCCTCTGAATGTCAGAAGCCAAGCAGTTTTCTATTCTCACTTTACAAATTTTAAAATTTTCAGTTAAGGAATAATTTGAAAATTGATATTTTGAAAATTTGTTTCTAAAACCAGGTGTTTCTGGTTTTCAGTTGCCCATGTAAATACTCCCTTTTATTGTAGTCTTCAGCTCAATGCAGGATCTTTGCAGGTTAGACCTCAAACAAATTAGCAAGATGATTGGTGGTACTACTAAACTGGTATCAGAATGCTGGAACACTGCTCAGGAACCCTCCAGACCTGCTCTGTAGGTACCTGCAAATAGACACTTGGACTCATTTTGCAGCAGAGAAACTGTTAGTGCAAGAGGCAACCGGAAAAGCCAGTGAGCACCATATGCTATTGTGTACAGGGATCATGTGCTCTCACTGTCCTGTAAAACTGGGAATAAAACTCATATTAATTGTGTGTCTGCAAGCTAGAACAGAGGCAGATGTGTGCAAGCACCTGGAAAGAAAAGAAGGTTATCTATCTGCCACCTTCTTATCCTGGTAAGCAGGCTTTGGCAGAAAAGGGAGTACAGCAGTTCTTTTTTTTCCCCTTTTCCGCCTTCTAAAGTTACTTTGTAGCAGCACAAGCACTTAGCTGGTTTTGGATCTGTTGGAGAGATGACTTCAACAGTAGTCAGGGCACATCAGAAAACCAAAGAAGCAAATAATGAAATAGACCTACCCAAAACAACCCAATCCCAAAAGAATGAGAAGCCCAAACACACAAGATGTATTCTGTGTCATAAGATCACTGCCCATGACCGGCACTGCAATGGCAGCATTATACCTGTCACCCAACTGTTTCAGGTGTGGACAGAGGTACCAGAGCTAGCATAATGGCTGTGGGAGGAGGTAATGGCTGTGGGAGGAGGTAACCTCCTCCTGTGGGAGGAGGTAGCATGTCCTGGGAGCTCAGTGCATACACACAGAACAAGCAGCTGCACCTGAGTCACTCTGAGTGCTCAAGGTGGCTTGGCTGAAGTGACACAAAGCATCTCTTCATTCGCTTAAAATCCCTGCACTGTGGTGACAACCCATATGACTCAATTTTGACAAACCAGTGCATGAGAAAGAGAAGTCTGTCTTTGACCTTCTTTAGCAAAGTTTTCAGTCCTGCTTACCAGAAAGAAAGGAAATCGCTTTCAGATCTGCAAAAGCATGCTTGGCTTCCTCAGTTTGGCCCAAGTCCTCCCCTGAGTTCCAAGAAGCAGGAGTAGGTCATCTTGTCCTTCAATCTATATTCCCAGAAACAACCAGCAATAGCCAGCATTTCATTACAGAGGGACCAGAGAAATTTATGATAACAAGCTAGCTCTAGGGAACCAAAGCTTTCCAGCTTGTGGAGGTGTATGAGTGAAGCACTCTGATTGGAAGCATGTCTCCAAAAGCTGTAAATGCGCCACAAACCCCAAGTTCTGAGCAGAGGGGTTTAGTAATGGCATTATTTTTAGAACACCAGCACTAAACAGAGTCCAAATCTGTACAAGGTGTCCAGTGTCAGAGGAAACATCATTTCTGTTAACGAGAGATTGCTCTCCAATTAACACCAACATGAAGATGACCATTTAGCCCCTCCCAGAATACTTGTGCTTGATGCTTATATGGCGCTAGGCGTTGAATTACCAAGCAGCTGCTCATCCGTGTTTAATCAGCAGGTGTGGTGATGTTGCACGGAGGAGGTGGTGACGCCGCTGCTTTTCCTGCGCATCAGCGGCGCCGATGGGCCTGGGGGTGCGTGTCACAGTGTCATCTAGTGGCCGGTGTCCACCTTCTCGGCGGGGCGACAGCATACAGCAACGACTCTAATCCCCCAAGGCTGAAATCCTATGCAGGTTGTCAGTGCTTCTTCAGAGACAGTGATGGTCATGCACCTCGTGGAGCACAGTCCTATCCCCAAGCGGTTTCATTAGACATTATGATGTAGGCATCAGGGCATCCTGAGGTAGGGTTTTTAGCTAAATTTGGTGAAGCTTCTGGTAGCTCATCATGGTACATACTTAGAGAAACCTAAAGTGTGTGCACCCTCAGTTTTGTGTGTCCCATCTCTCTGTAAGTCCCTCATCACCATGGCACTGCATGAATTGGCAGCTAGCACTTCGATGAAAGTGTTTCATGTAACCTCCCTACTTCTTTACAGGAGAATATTGCCACTACAGAAGGTCCAGCTGAGCGGCGCACGCCTAGTCTGCCTCAGCACAACCAGACAGCATCTGAGAGAAGCACATTATGCTAGCAGTGGTTTTGTACTGAAAAGATTAGGAAAGACATACACTGTTTTGTCACCGAAGTTGCAAAGACAAAAAGGTGGAAGTCAATAATGGTTATTAAGACAGGGCTACACCAAGGCAAGAATATTGGCTTCTGATGAAAGCAAGCATAGATTATGATTTCACACTTTACTAATGCTCCATACTCCACTGAATGTTCCAGATACACTGATTTACAAGGGAGAGTTTTATCAGTAGTTTTCCATTTAGACACAGCTCTTCAATAATAAAATTGTACACAAGAGTTACATCATTACAACAATAACAACAGTAAATTTTCTTGTACAGATGAACCCATTGGGACAAATAACTGTGATGTTTGCCCTGATCAAAGATAGTCAGTACCAATGCCTACAGATTAAAGTCATCTCTTAACTTCCTACTCTAAGACCCTTTTTCTGTGCATTTTGTCAAGATCCTTCTTCCACCAGAAACATTTTGTCTCAGATGCATTAAAATTCAAGGTTTAGTGGCTTCACTTGCAACCTGGCTGGGTAGCCATCCTTTTTCCAGCTCTGACAGCTCAGTATTTTTGTACATGGTTGACCAGCAGAAAACTGAGGTGCCTTTACAAGAGAATTTGAAAGCTTCCTTGGAATCCAAGTGACAGTAAATATAAACATTTGAAAGAAGGAACACTTCTGTTTCAACAGAGTGACTTTTTTTGATTCCTGTTGTTTAAGCAGAACTCTAGGGTCCGACACAATTTTCTCTCTAGGATTTACACAATTTGTTAGGTTACGTTTGTCTTATGTAGATAAGACAAGGTATTTTTTCTATTAAAAATATGTATTTGATTATTTATTGGTAAATGGAGCTCAGAAGCGGTATTATCTTTCCATGTACCACTATGCTTGCATAACCAGTTGTCCTGGTTCAGAGCAAATTCAGGCGAGAACCCCCAGAGGGGCTCCTCTAGAAAAGCAGATTCAATTGGCCCCTCCCCCAACTGGTTTGGGAGAAAATACCTCCTTGGAGAAAAGTGGAAAAAAACTGTTTATTAAACAATAAAACCTAAACAATATTAAGCAATAAAACCCCTTGCTGCTCCAAAAGAGATGACAAACTGAGAAAGTCTCTTCCCCAGGTTGCAGTTCAGCTCACTCAGTCTCTGATCAGTCCCTCAGGTGCTGCGGCCCAGGCCTGGCCCAGTGGGCCACAGGAGCAGCTGCCAGTGCTCCTCTGGGTGTTCAGTCCAGAGCAGGTTTAAACAGCTCCAAGAAAGAGGGAAAAAACCCCACAGTCCAGGGAACTTCTCTGCCTCAGCTAGCTAAACTAACTAAAACAAAGGAGAGCTCTGTCCCACTGTCTGTCCCTCTGCAGACAACAGTCAGGAGTAGGAATGTGGAGGAGTGAGTGCAGTGTCTGAAAACAAAAACTGCTGCTTCTTCTCTCCCCCCTGATCACTCACTGGAACATGTCTTAAAGGTGCAAAACTTATTAATCAGCATAAACAGAACAAGACAATTGGGGATAAAAGCATCATATAGTCAACCTAGGATACCAGTATAAAACCCAACCAACTCTGCTAGAATCTTATTCATTACTTATAGACATCATTTTCAAGAATGAGAAGGCCATAGGTTGACCATATCCCTAAAAAGGTTTTGTCAGAGGAATCCTACCTATTCTTACCACTAGGAAGTCTATATGGCTAAATCTAAGCTCTTGCCTCAGCCCACAAGTGACTGAGATCACATCCCAAAATACACTGTCCCTGTGGACACTCTTCATCAATCTTACCTTGTGATGATTTATTGCTGAAATTTATGCTAGTGTCTATAAAGAATACTCTGCTTTATTCCAAGTGTCCTCTGAATTTTGTGAAAGATACAGGAAAAATTCTGTACCCTCTTCACTGATGATGTTTATTTAAAGGATTGTATTTCACTGTTCATCTTTCTGAGCTTTCTTGACGCATAGTGGCAAATACATTACTTTATCCTGAAGTCCTTGAACACCCTGACTATTCAGTACTCCATATTTAGTACAGTTTCAATTAGGAACAACTCGTAGGGGTAGAAACACACTTTTTGCCTTGTACTGGAGTTTCAAATATAGTAAAAAACCCCAAACATGTAAAAAAAAAAGAATGAAAAAAAAAGAACCCTCCAGGTTAACCAATCTCCAAAAGTTTGAAGTCCATGTCTGTTTTGAATGTTCATTTGAGAAAACACAAAAATGTTTTCTCTTCTGCTGAGAAAGCAGCAAAACCACTACAAAATTACACAGCTTTGTATATCAATTCCACTCCCTGTGAGTTGTTCTGAATGTCAAGACTGCATTGAATTAAAGAATTTCAAGTGTTAAAAAAAAATTCCACTATTGTTTAATCACAGTTAACACCTTTTAATGTTTAGTGTCAGAAAGACAGCATATTAAGGAATAAACACCAGCACTTGTTTGTTCCCTCTATGATCGTTTCCAATAAAATATTTCATATCAGACAAACACTCCATAAGAACACAGTTTACAATAACCATTTGCTGAAAACAGGGTAGATGCATTTTTCTGATGTAGGTATACACCTTCTCCAGGATCCTCAAAGCATTTTTTCTGTCTGTGCAGGGAAGAATTCAGGGCTCCACTGAATATATCAGGTGTACTGAAAGTTTCTGGGGTAAGAATACTCCAGTGCAAAAGACATCTCAATGCAATAGAATCCAATACTTATACAAGGGGATATTTTACCTCTATTAGCATCTGAAAAAACCAAACTATGCACTTACAAGGACCAAAAGAAACACATTAAAAAATCAGACAAATGCTTTAAGTTATCTATTTTAATTACAAAATTACACTTGGTGTTAGTTGCATAAAACAGCATAGGCTGACAGTGTTACACAGCTGCTCCCACACATGGCGACACCTGCAGTGCCTACTTGCACTAATCAGGTTACTCTATATCCCCTATAGTTAAGTTACCTGCAGTCACTACTGCAGCAAACTCATGAGACAGTGTTAGGAACTACAAGTGGGTAAGCCACAACATGAGACATGGTTTTAGTGCTTCACAGACTTGTAGAGTAACTTATGTTGGAAAAAACCTCTAAGATCAAGGCCAACCATTAACTGAGCACTGTAAATGTAATAGATATACATTTATGTATTTTTAGTTAGGAACTAAAACCTCTACCTGGTACATTTTAATAATTAAGCCTTAATACATTTCTTGACTGCAGCTAGAGCCATCAACAGTAGCAGCAGCAACTGAGGACTATACAGCAGTCTGCACTCCTCTCCCCTTGCAATACTTACAAATGGACTTGTTGATGACCCTACTTAGTACAGCTTTAGAACAGCTTGAAAGCTTAACACTGTTTTCTTGCATCTTCAGTTACTGCTCTTTATCCGTCAGTGTACTGCTCTGTTCAGTGCCTGAACTGTGCTTGCTCTTAAGGGACCTTCCAATGTATCTCCAGTACTCTTTTCGGATGGTGTCTTTTTCTTTAGCCAGAATTTCACACAACTATGAAAGAAAAACGAAAGACTGGAGTATTAAACCGAAAAGCTTACAATCCTTAATTATAAAATGCATACAACCTGTATTACAGATAGTGTTAGAAATATGTTCCTCTGCAACATTTGTTTTATTCATGGGATTTGTAACTGTTTAATGGCATCAAAATAAGGACAACCCCAGTTGGTAGCCAACCAATCTGACACTGCACAAAAATCCCTCCAGGCCCATTTCAGTTGTACTAGTTCCCTTTGACTCATTCCCATGCCTACCACTCATCATCCATGCCAACCTAATGCACCTGGTAGTAGAGCACACGATACTTCCTGAGAACCTTGAACGTCTTTTAGTCATCCAACAGGCTGTAAACCACCTAATTCCAAACACTGGAAGATCATCCTGGTCTTGAATCTTCAATACTCTTGACAGAATAACAGGAGATCTTTTATTTCTGTTTTTTTCCTCAGCAGACTGTCCCAAAAAGGTTCTCCCTCCAAGTCAGTAACCCTCTCTCATGCAACATTAAGAGCTGGTATACTCTTCGTATTTGGGTTTTTTATACTTCTACTTATATACTTCTTTTATACTTCTATATATTTGGGGTTTTTTTAAAATTTTGATGTGAATAAGCAGCACAGTAGAAATCAATACTACTTACAGGACAAGCTGTGTAAATTTTACACAGTCTGAACACTACAAATGTTCAGACTAAATTCCCTTTTTATTATGCAGATGACATTGCCTTACTCAGTGAAATGGAGTTAAGAAATTAAGAGCTTTGATGTCTAAACAGAGAGTCAAAATCAGTGAAATAGTATAAAGGAGCCAATTGCACTTGTTTACAATTGGTCCTGGAACACAACAATGGAAAAGTGCTGAGAAAGAACAATGTTGGAACACAAAGACTCCAGGCGGAACTGCAGATCTAATAACATTAAGTTCCAGTCAGTCTCACAGTGAACGGAAAATGTTCTCGTAAAAACTATGCTACAAACTGCAACAAAGAACAGCCAAGTATGAAACTCTGGGAGATACACAACATTGCCAGAAGTAATTTATGCTCTCTAGGAAGTGGTGCCTGACATTTCTTACTGATACTCCAGTGCCTGCTGTCCATAAGCTAATTCTGTCTACTTTCTTAGAAAAAGCTGAGAAGGGCCAAGGGAGTTCAACTGAGGTTGTTTGGACATGGATATTCTGAGAAAAATTCATTAATCTACAGAGAAGAGAGTGAGTTAATGCTATAAAGTAAACATTGAAAACTCCTCTATTATTCAAACATCTTCTTTCTTCTGCAGTAGTATCAGAGACCTTCCTTCACCACCACATGAAGAAAATTTAAGAGTAATTTAATAACTGGCTAGTTATTATTTATATTTAAATTCATGAGATCCTTGTAATTGTCTGGCTTTTGTGTTAAACTTTTCATAGACTTCTCATGATTAACAACTAACCTGTTCTATTTATGAAAATCAATCTCATTTTGTCAAGCTATAAAACCAGACAGGAATAGGGAGCATCCCTGGGAAGAAAAACCAAGCTTTCAAAATGTACCTCCAATGCCTTGTTCAGTGTTTCTTCCTTGTTATCACACTGGTTTTCTAGCATATCTTCATATATGTCCACAAGAAAGGCAATCAGATAGGGTGAACTGTGACTGGGCTGTAAATTCAACAGTTCTTCCAGCAGATTTGGATATTTAGAAAGACCACGATCCTGTAGAATCCTAGAAGAGAGGTTAATAGGCTTGACACATAATTATGGGAAATCTGGTGTGAATAACTGCACTTTTGTTATGATTCCGTTACTTGAAGATCAGGTTTGAAATCAGGCTGCAGATATAAGTAAGTCAGAAAGTAAGCAGCATGCAGAACTAGTATAGCCTCATGTTGTAGTAAGCTGGTATAGTTTTTGTTCAACTGAACAGG